AGGACCGTGGGGACTCTGGTGTCCGAGGGCAGCGGGCCCAGCGTGCCCGGAGTTGGCCCTGCCCCGTCCCCAGGGTCGGAGCCCTGCGAGCCCGGCCGTGCCGGCTCTGGGCCGCGGGCAGCGGCAGTGGAAGTTCGGGAGGCGAGAGGGGAACACGAACAGCCCCGGGGGTGACACCGGCTCCAGGGGGTGTTGGCGTTGTATTCCGACATTTTCAGTGAAGTTCATCCAAGGCGCTGCGAGGGGTGTTGAGGAAAAGCGGATGGTCCCTGCGTGAGGCTCTGCCGGGAAATGCAGCTGCGGCCGCGGCTCTGCCGCTGCTCGGGGCGGGCCTTGAGCGCATAGCGGTGCCTCAGTTTCCCTTCACGGCGACAAAAGAGCTGCCTGTGTTACCTCATGGCTGCGGGCACGACCTCGCTCTGCATCGCTGCGGGATCAGGGGAGCGTGAAGAGGAAGGTGCCGTGCCTGTGAGGGTGCAGGTGAGGGCACAGCGCTTGTCCTCTGTGCTTTCTGAGCAGCTCCTGTCCATCCCTGCTGCTGGACACGCAGAGTGAGGGGCCTGAAGTGACCTGTGAGGGCTGCGTGGGGTCAGTACTGCTGTGATGCACGAATGCTAGCCCTCTGAGGTGGATCCTGGGAGTGACCATCCCCACACACCCTGAGTGGGCAGTGCAGGACCTGTCTTAGAGTCACCAATTGCTCCGTGCTCCAGCTCCCTCGGCACTGTCCCGAAGGAGGAGTGATGGAGCTGCTACTGGAGCTGCTCTGGGTGTTGGTTTAAATGGATTTCTGCGAGGCCTGACATCTCAAGCTTCTGAGATTTCTTTCTCATTCACCTCACAAAGGTGTGTTGTGGTCAGCACAGATTCAGCCTCCTGGTAAGGAGGCACTGAAGTATTGTATAGCATGGAGAGATGGTTGAGAGCACTTCTTGACAGAGGGTGAAACTGGGCGTTATCCTGGGTGCTGCTCCTGTGGGTGTTTTTCTTTCTCTTTCTTTACATAAATACAATTTTGGCGGTGCTTTTGCTTAATTTTGCATTTCAGTCTCTCCTTACCACTGCTGCAGCATATTCTTACCCAAAGTGCCCCTTTTTCCCTCATATCAGGCCAGTTCTTAGTGTTCATCTGTGTATCCTTTGGGCGGTTCCAAGGAGAACAAGGAATCTCAAAACATTCAGCATCTCTACCTGTTTTCCTACTAGCTGGACTTTGTTGTTTGGGTGATTACTCTGATCCTGCCCCTCACTTGCACAAGGATTGTGGATTTTTGCAGAAATGCAGTTTGAACCCAGTTTAATGGTGTATAAAAAAGATTAAGTTTCTTTGTTCCAGTTTTGTTTCCTCCAAATACCTCATCTTCAGCCTCCCTTTGGGTTTTCTTTCAGCCACGCTCGTTTGCCTGGAAGAATTTTGCTACTGAATCATTAATCTGCCTTTATTTTCTGCTCACATTTGCATATGAAATAATTCCTTGTTCTTTTTGTTGTGTCTCCACTTGGAGTTCTTTCTGCATGGGGGTGTGGTTTTGTCCCTCTTCTATGTGGAAATTTTGTAAGGAAACGGTCAGGAGAGGCAGCTGGACCAGGGAAACATGAATGGGGTGTTTCACCTGACTTTTCCTGGAATCCCACATGATGTGTGTGTGGGATGGCTGTGGTGGTCACGGCAGGGATCGGTACAGCTGGGCTTTGCCCGGTTGTGAAGGTATTTGAGAAGGCTCAGCCTTGTGTTGTGCTTCAGCAGCTTAAATTCCTAGAGCAGGAGAACCTAAAAACTTGCGGAGCTTTCACCATCTGTGCCTTTCACTCCTTTGTCCTATATTTAGCTTGGAAAAGCAAACAGATGAGGTGGTTTCAGTTCTTGCTGCTTGCGGGCGGGCACAGGGCTGCAGTGCTGGGGAGTGTTTGGAACCCAACATCAGGGGCTCCCTCAGAGCTGCCTGGGCATTGGCTGCTGGCTCTGAGCATGGTTGTGTTTCCCAGCCTGTAATTATTCATGGAATCACATCTAATGCTTTAAAATAAAATCAGTGAGCTGCCTTTACCTCTTCCTGGCCTTATTTGAAAGTAGCTGCTTCTTGTCTTTTTGTTTTAACCACTGTTGGTGTAGCTGCAGCACACCAAGTTCTCAGGATGTGACAAAGGCCCTGTTTATCCACAAGCCCAACTGCCTCAACTTCATGTTCTACTTTGGGATTTTGAGTTCTCAGCACTGCGGTGGAAATCCTTGCCAAAATGGCTTTTATTTAATTTTGTTGGAGAGGTTTATCCCCTGCTGCCTATAACAGCTGCTTTGTGACGTTTTCTTTTGGGACACGTGTTGAAGCTTGTGAGCCTGTGGAGTAACAGGCACACAGGACATGGCTTCCAGAGGAAATGCAACGTGCAGTCCTGCTGGGAAGAAATAAAAGCTGGTGTCAGCAGAGGAGCTGTACTGGGGTTTGGGGGTAGGTCTGAACACAGGGGAAGGAGACCACAAATGTGTCTCACTCTGACAGGGACCCCAGAGAACTGCAGCTGAGGAGTAACTTTGTGGAAGTAGGGTGGAAAGGGAGCAGAGGAGAAATGAGAGAGGAGTTAACAACAGCAGATGTTACCAGAGAGGAAAACCTGTGTGGAAAACGAGAGCTGTTTGCAGAGGAGAGTGCAGAGCATTTATCACCGGTGCAGGCAGACGTATAACAGATGTGCAGCACAGAAATGAGTGGATTGCAGGTTGTGGACTTGGAAACTGTCCTCAGCATAGGATGGAGCCACCTTTTCAGGTAAGTGAGATAAGCTTTAGAAACAGAGTTAAAAATACTTGTAGAGAGCAAAGCAGGGGAGCAGCATGTGCAAGGTGTAACACTGAGGTGCTTATCAGGGCAGCTCAGGTACTCAACAAGGAGAAACAGCATCGTGTAGCTCCTCAGAAATGGTGCTGCACCTCAGTGGAGGAGGAATGGAGGAGTGCTTCTCCAGTCCAGGGGTTAGACCTCGCATCCATTTTTTCCCAAGTAAGGTGTCTGACTCCTGCCCTCTCTCATTTGCAGTTGATGGGTAAGTGAAGTGACCAGGCAGGCTCATGGTGTGGCTTTGGTTTGTCCTAGACCCGGTTGGCAGCAGGGATGTGTGGGTGTGGAAGTGTGTGCTGTGCTGAGCTCCTGGGGGCTGTTGTTTCCTAACTTGGATGTGAGCATCTCGGAACCTTCCTAGCCCTGAAGATGCCTTTGGCATTACCCCTTCCATACAGTTGTGCTGCTTCTGTGTCAGTCAGCACAAAGAGCTGAGAGCTGGCTCCCAGACCCGGCACTGCACTGTGTGTGAGTCCTACCTGTTCTGCAGTTGGCTGTGGAGCCGTCTGGGAGTCCTTGTTTAGGACTGGGACTCCTCCCTGTCCATCCCCACCATCAGAGACTGGCACTCACTCAGGTTGAAGCGGGGCAGAGAAAGGCCTTTGCAGTTGTCATCATCCTGCCAGGGTGTGAGAGACTCCCTGGGGTCAGGATGGCAGAAATGAGATATGCTATTTCAAAGGGACCCATCCCTCTCCTTAGAAAAGGTGGACAGGTGAGACAGAGCAGTTCTTCCACCTAGAAGATGGGATTTGTTCTGTGCCATTCAGGAATCATTAGAGTGGGCTCTGTGGCTTGCACCAGGCAAGTCAGGCCATGTCAACAGCTCTGCCTTTGCCCAGCACACGAATGTGGGGAATTCTCTGAGTTTAAAGAGCACTTTTCCCCCTCAGCTTAGATTTCTTGCCCAAAAGCTGCAGTCTGGGAACTGCTGTAAGAGAACAGACCCTGAATTCCTGCTCTGTTTGCCTCTCCCTTGCCCTGAAGTGTTTTGCAGCATCGCTGCGTGCTTGAGCACTGCGCTGCAGCTGTGCCCTTGCTGCAGTCACAGGACGGCACATGCAGCTCGTGAGGGCTGTGGGACACCCTCGAGTCAGGAAAAGCTACCACCAATAAGAGAGATTTGCTTACTACCAACCCTCCAGGCTTATCCCTGTTTCCTGACCTTGATTATAAATTACCTGGAAGCAATTTAGTGAGCATGGTGGGTAAGGAGGAAACCAAAGAAATTGCATCTGGGAATGGCCTGAGGAAGCTACAGAATCTCAAGTGATTTAGGCAGCAAAACCTCTGACCAGCTTTTCAGTTTTGGCTTTAGCTGCTTTAATATCCTCCTTTGGTGATCAGGGAAATTTCTGTGATGATCTCTAAGATGATCATTTGCCTAAAATAGCTGTTGCAGTAATGGGAAGTACATGAAACCACAGAGCTGCCAGCTGTTAAATGCTGATAAAAACCGTTACTTTTCCATCTGCACAGCGTCCTGCTCCCGCAGTTCAGCATGTGCTGTTCAGCCAGGTAATGGTTCCTTTGGTGCCCCAGCACCCAGGGTGGATCCAGAGCATGAAGCAGTTTGTGTCAGGACTTTATGAGGCAGTTTATGAGGAAGGAGCTCTCTCAGGTCCCAGCACCAAACCCCTGGTGATGAGCTTGTCTCTAAGTTCTTACATGCTGTGCCCAGCAGAGCATGTAAGGCTGGATGTAAACCCTTTTTACTCAGTGTTTTAGTTTGGAAATATCTTGTTTTCCCAGTACATTTTGATGGCTTCTTTTACTCTTAAAAATTCTAATGTAGAGGAATTATTGATGGCAAGGCAGAACCCCAAGCTATTATGGGTAAACTTGCGCACATCTGCCTCTTTGTTCAAGACAGGCTGGGGAAAAGGAATGGGCACAGACAGGACGTGGCATTTTCCCTTCACAGAGTCTAAAGTCTTCCCTTGTGAAGTCATGGTTGCTGTGCTGCACTTCGCTGGGAGAACCAAGTGATCAGTTTTATGGAGCTGCTGGGTGCAAAGTGTTTCCAACCACTTCTCCTCGGCTCCAGACACATGTGTGCCGTTTCTGGAATGCTAAATAGACTCTTGTTGCAGCAGAGGTAAATTACCCTTGAGTAGCTCAGGAGGAAAGTGTGGCCAGAGCTCCTTCACTGCAGCTCTGGGCTTGCAAAGCCCTGTGCTGACCCTGTGGAACCTCTCCTGAGCCTTTCAGCCTCACTGATGGAAGGGGGCTGTTAAAGGGGCTCTTCTTATTTCTCCTGGACTCCCTGAGCCCTTGCCTCCCCTGCAGCTGCTCAGTTGAGTCGGAATTAGGTAATAACCTGCTTGTTTCTGCACTCTGGAAACGAAAATGATTGCAGGACAAAGAAGTAGAGCTTTGGACTAGTGCTTGTATTTATTAGGTTTCTTTCCTGCTTTCTTTCATCTGTTATTTGCTTGAGGATTTGGGAAATTCCCTGGCAAGTTTTGAGGGTTTGCATTCCGAATTTTTTGAGAGCGTGGTGCAGCTGGCATTTAAACTTTACTGAGTGTCCAGGCGAGGAAATAGCAAAGCAGCTCCTCAGCGAAGGTGGAGTTCAGCCCCAGGCAGAGACTCGGCCTCTTCTGCTCTCAGATGAGTTCCTGGTTTGCTTTCCAGGGCTCCCAGTACCCAGTGAAGTGCTGATGGGTGTGAAGCAAGGAGCCTCTCAGCATTCAGAACGCTCTAGAGAAATATTTGTTGAGGAAGGAAAGTGCCCTTGGTGCCAAGGGAGGCTGCAGCCTTCTGGGAGGAGTGAGCTGGAATTCAGCTCTGTGTAATGATTCGGTCTCGTGCCTGATCTCCTTGGAAATGCTGATTTTAACTTGGGATTGAATTCTTAAGCCTTCCCTTAGCTTCGTTGTGTTGCAGGAGGTAACACAGAGCCAAGACAACTGATTACTTCTCAGGGTGTTCTGTGTTTGGCTTTGGGTTGCTGAGAGGCCCAGCCTTTCATTCACTGCAGTTGAAGCCTGGAAAAACAGAAAGCTGATAATGGAAAGCCACCAAGAGTGGCATGTGTGTAAAAGGACACCAGATGTGCCTAAATCCACTCTGATAAGGAGAGTGGGACGGGCTGGTACCTCCTTACATGGAAACTGTTTGACCTGTAACCTAAGCAGGGTGAATTTCTCAGGCTGATTGTCCACTTGGGAAGGTGTTCCTCCCTCCCAGGATATGTGGGGTACACAGAGCTGTACACAGTTGATGAGATGATTAGAAATTATAAATGAGATGATTATAAATATAAAATATAAAAGTGCTTTGTCTTCTTGACAATTGGGCAGTTTGGTGTAGATCGGATTCCCTTAAACTCTAAATGGCTTTTTGCTAAGAGGGTGTGATACCAACTCCATCTCATACTGTGCAATTATTAGTTCCATCCTCTGCTAATTCAGCGAGTTTCTCTTCCTCCTGTACAACTCTGCAGAGCAGCTCTGTGCCCACTCTCAGACAGAGTGGTCCCTGCTAACACCAAAAGTTCAAGGAGGTAAAATGGCTTTTCTTCCTGAAAAAGCTTTTAGTTCTTCCTGTGTATTTTCAAGGCAGCTATTTTTTCCCTTTTTACAGTTTTGATTGCTTGCCCAGTTTTATTTCCTTCAAAATTATTTTTAAGTTCATCCTCAGTCATGTGTGCTGCACTTAAAACTTCTGCTGCTGCCTTCATTGAGAGCAGCCCTGATTTGGAAAGTCACTGACCTTTCCTTTTAGCAGTCATGAGCCTTTTGTTCTAGTAAACATATTCTTTGGCTTCTAAGATAAGAGGTTTAATTTGAGGTGAAATTTCACGTCACAGAGATTTTTGGATTGTAAAAGATCTTCCTAAGGAAGATGGAAATCCCACTAAAAGCCCTGTCCAAAACCAGACCAAGCAAGACTTTAAAAGATTTTTGGGAAGGAGCAAATCTGCGTTGGTCAGAATACGGTTGTTGGGGTTTTTTTTGCTCATGTGCAATTCCTGTCAGAGTTGCTTAAGTAACATATTTGTATTCCAAATCAAAGCAGAAAATCCTGATCTGTTTTCTTGCTGTGACCCTTGTGGAGGCAAAAACTCCAGCGGTTCCTGGGCTGGTTTTCCACTGAGCTGATCAGTTCCTCCTGTTTGCCTTACCTATGTTTGGAGAGACTTTGCAGCTGCTCCCTGCAGCTGTGGCTGGTGTCACAGGCCATGGACTTCCTTCTGCCAAGAGATTTTGATTGTCATTAAGGTCACTGGTGTACAGCTAATTAGCTCCCCCATATAATAGCCATAGTGACAAAGGTATTAATAGAAATGCTCTTGTGGAGCTGGAGCTGTATACAATAGCCAGTGATGGCTGCAGAACTGCAGGGAGGAGGCTGAGGTAGAAGCTGAGTATTTGAGAAGAAGGTTCCTGATCCATGTGGCAGCAGGGTAATGAGACAATGGTCTGAGGAGAAGTTTTATGATTTCAGATGTCTTCTGACATTATCTGTCCATGCATTTGCTCAGTTGGAGACAGTGTGGCGAGACAGTTAAAAATGTGAACATTAATTTATTTATGATTCTGGCCTGGCTTTGGGCCAGCAGTCAGATTCACCCAAGTTTCTCTTGCAGTCAGTGTATTTGTGGCCTCTGGATATGCAGGCTGAGGAATTGGGCAGTTGTTTTCAGTAGTGACATCATGTTTTGATATATATTCAAGCTGATGATTGAGCAAATAGATTTTCAGGGTTGACTTTTGTCAGAGTAATCCCAGCAGGCTCAAAAGGAGTGCTGCCCTCTGAGTTTACTGGCTCAGCTCTGCTTGACTTCTGATAGAGCTGCCAAAAAAAAAAAAAAAAAGGACAAATATCCTCTGGTGTTAGTTTTCCCAATAGCTACCATTTTCATTCAGTTTTCCCTAAGCCAGCAGCCGTGCTGCCAAGGACATTGCTGTGGGTGAGTGTGAATGGAGAGAGACTGCCAGAAAGCATCTGACACGTTCTGCTCTCACTGCTTTTCCTCTCCTAGAACTGACCAAAGCAGCTCCTTGCAGGCAACAGCAGAGACCTGGCACCTGTGAACTCTGTGTTCTCAGGAACTCTCACCTGAGGCCTCCTGTGCCTGTCTGATATGTGGGTGGTGAAGTGACTCAAGTGTGGAGTTTATTCCAGTGGAAGATCTGGCATTCCTGTACAGGGCAGCAGCTGAAAGCAGGGTTTGACAATGGGCAACATATCCTGAGAAATTTAGGCTGTGGTTTAAAAGTAAGAATCTCTTTCCATTTGAGATTTATTTTTTTCCAAAACCTCCAGCTTCTGTTGTGCCATCATAGGTGGAGTCCCTAAGCTCTGCTTTGGGGGTGGAATGGCACATTTTGGCGCATCTGGAATGCCCCATGAAAGGATTCTTAGACGGAGTCTGGTATCAGTGGAGGTGAGTTTGGTACCTGCTCAGCAGGATCTCTGCAGCCTTCCCCAGGAGATGATGATAAAGAGTTGCTTGGTTTGGCTAGATCAATTTCATACCTCACTCTACACTGTGTCCTGTTTCACAGCTTTACTTCTTCCATGGTGTGCTGGTATTTTTGATACACCCACACACAAAAGGAAAGTGATGCCCTGGTTCAGACACTTGTGCTTGTGTTGCCCATAATCAAAAGAAAAATAACCCTTGTGTTAGGATAGTAAAGTAAAAAGCAGACCTTTGTTTGGAAGCTTACAGGTGTCCCAGTGGTGATGGGAGCACCCGGAATTGAATTTCTACAATTTTATAACATTAATTAATTAGGATATCTAAAGGCAGGAGGTAAGAGAATCTCCTATCAATAGGAGGTTCAGTTGCAACAGTCACCCATCCCTGGGTCAGCCCCTTGGAGTTGGTCCAAGGGCTTCTCTGCCCCATTTCTAGCTATGCTTTATTGTAGGTCCCCTCCTTGGAATAAGAGTAAACAATATTTCAGGAATGTGGTTAGAAGGTCAGCATATTGTTCTAAAATCTAGGGGGAAAGGGTAGGAAAAGTACTGGAGCTACAGTCATGCATTAGCAATCTACAAAGCTACAAATATATGAAAAATATATAAAAAGCTTAAGCATCATTCCCCCCCTTTAGAGCCTTGATATAGAATTATAGGTGACACTTTTCCTCTGCATTACCAGCTGAAAGCAGCTTCTCCTCTGAGCACTCTTATCCTGGGATGAGGCTCCCAGCACAGGGATGATCCTTCAGTGCAGGTGTGAGAAAGCTCAGCCAGTGGGAGCTGATCACTGCCCATGCCAGCTTTTGAGCTTAAGCGCTGGGTATTACCTACCTGTCCATGTTGTGTTTGGTTTATTCTTAGTATCCAATACCAAGTAGACATGGTGACATCAGCTTTCAGCAGAACTGGTTCTCTGACACAACACAAGGGTGCTCCTGGATTGCCTTTGGAGGTGTTTGCTCAAATTTTCAGCCATGTCTGGGTTTGTGGGTGCTCAGAGCAGGACTCCAGGCCCAAATCATATGGACTCTCAGTGCTCCCTGCCAGTGGAGCAGCTGTTGGAGCACAGTCTGGAATTTTCAGTTTCTTGGTATGGATGCTGAGAAGCCAGGTTAACCTCAGCCACCTCCCTGGGCATGTTCAAACAAGAAACCTTTGCTTAAAGGGAGTAACGAATTTGAAGGGAATGTGCAGCCTGGCAGGTGTTGTAAACTTGGTCTGAGCTGTGAGCGTGTCCCCTGGGCTCAGGGCAGGGAGGGGACAGCAGGGCACAGGAGCTGTCTGCAGGGGAAGAGCAGCAGTGGCAAACTCACAGCTGTGCGCTGCCCTCCCCTTCCAGCAGTAGCACAGGCTTGACACCACCATCTCAACACATCTGTCAGACTTTCTCTTCCAACAAAATGTTTGATTTGGAAAGGCCCTTTAACCCCTGGAAGCCCTGGGCTGATGGCTCAGCTGCTGCTCCAGTGCCTCAGCCAGGTTTGTGCTACACCCTGCGTTCCTACAGCGGCTGCAGCAGCTGCATGCTGGCAGTGTGGCTCTGGTTCCTCTTCTCCACCTTGAGCTGTGGCTGTTCCAGGATCCCCTCATGCCCATTCCAGAGCACTCCCCACACTCTGGGTGCAGGGGCAGAGCGAGCAGGGCAGCATGTGACTGGGAGCCTGCTCCTGCTTATGGTGACAATAGGAGCTTTCTTTCCATCCTGCTTTCTGGACCACTGTACAGAATGAGAATTAGCATTGGCATGGAGGAATGTGTGAAGTAAGCCCTGGATTCAGTGGTGGGAAAATTGTCTGGCAGGAACTCTTCACGTTTGAATCTGGTGACATTGGAGTGCAGCCCCCTGCTCCTGTGGTGGCAGCTCCTGCACAGGAGTGAGGTTTGATGGAGACAGGAGGGGTTCTGCTGCCACAGAGGGGTTCTCTGACATGGAGAAGTGTTCCTAAAACTTGTACAGCCTCTGTGATCTGCTGCCCTCTGAACTGGCTCCTCTGGGGCCACTCTGGTTTTAATGAAGTAAGAGGCTCTTGAGCAGTCCTGCTGCAAGCATTTCATCCACAACACTGAAACCTCAGGCACGTGAGGGATATGAAGGGCTGCACACAGGGGAGGTGAAACACTGGCTGCCCTGGGGAGGAGGAATTTCAAGCAGAGAAAACAGGGGAAGGAGCTGGGGCAGTCTCTGGGAGGGGAGTTGCTGTTTGGCAACACAGTGGTGGTGTTAAAAAGAGACAGCCACAAAAGTCATTCATTAATTATCTTTTGCTTTCCTGAGTGAAAAGGATCTAGAGAATTAAACTTTCCCCTGCTGACATGGCAGTTCTGAGGGGAATAAAACTGCTGAGCTGTTGGAGTTTGGCTTTGGTTCTCTTAGGTTTTGTCCTAGAGCAGTTTCGCTGGTTTCCGGGATCCAGAGCTTTAGAAGGAAATTTTCAGTTTCTCAAACCTGAATTTAGTTTAAAACAAAAAAAAATCCTCCAAATGTCAAAACATCTCTGATTTTTGGTTTTTTTCTGAAGTGACCAAATTGCCTTGGGTTTAAAAATGTCAGAAAGGGTTTAACAAAACAGCAAACAAACTCCAGTATTAAAACAGCTCTGAAATGCTCCTGCAGTCTCAAGCAGCTTTGCTGGGGGCTGTTTTCAAGTTTCCTCTTTCTTCCCTTATAGGTTTACCAAGAATCTTTCTCCAGACAAAATCAACCTGAGCACACTGAAAGGTCAGGGGCAGCTGACCAACCTGGAGCTGGATGAGGAGGTGCTGCAGAATGTGCTGGAGCTGCCCACCTGGCTCGCCATCACCCGGGTCTACTGCAACAAGGCCTCCATCAGGGTGAGCAGAGGCAACTTTAAATGGATGAAGTTACCCATTTACAGGCAGAATTGCTGAGATTGTGCATGGGCTTGCACTTTGCACGCTGAACCCTTACAAATTCTTCTTCCTTGTGTCTTTTAGAGCAAAAAATTGTGGTTTTTTAGTTGTTATAAGCTGCCAGGTTGTTTAATTGCACATGGTACTAACCACTGTTGCATTACATGAACTCAAAAGTTTTAAGGACATCAAAGAGACTTTCTGTAAAAGAAATATGATTCTATTCTGCCAAGTGACAGTAAAAATGAGCCTGTCTTACTCATCTGATGTGCTCTGTTTTTAGAGTCAGATCTGCTCAGTTTAGTAACAAACATTTGTTCTCCCTCCTACAAGAACTGCAGAGTGAACGTTGCTGTATGAAAATAAAATGGAGCTTTTTGGTTTGTGCGCAGTCTTCAAAAGAGTTGTGTGACTTCCAGTAACAGCAGCAGTTAGTTGTAAACTGTTTAAGGCCAGGAATGCTCCCCATTGCAGAATTTGACCTGCAGAATATCTGTCACTCCTGGTGATATATAAGATCCAAAAGATCAGCTGGGTTTGTAGATCTGGTGTCTGGAATTTTGTTTCCCTTGTCTGTGTCTCTGTTTGATCCGGAGACAGTGAGACATTGTGGACATTTTCAGACAAACGGGGTTCAAAGATTGGGCTGAGAAGGTTTCCTGCAATTTCTGAAACTTTCCAATGCAAAGATCACTCTGATAACCTCAACTTTATTGTTTCAGATCCAGTGGACGAAGCTGAAAACACACCCAATCTGCCTGGTAATGTTGCCTCTCTTGTCTCCTTTCCTTCCTTTCTCCCTTGTTCCTTCCTTCTTCTTTTCTTCCTCATTCTTTTAAATCTCTTCTACTTGAGAAAAATTCTGGAGAGGGAAACCATCAAGTGCTCAAATTTTCTTTGGACCTGAATCCAGGCCCTTAGTCATGAGTGCCCTCCCATGTGTCCCTCATTTCACTGCAGGATGGAGGCAGATGAGCTCTCAGGGAAGTCCAGGGCAAGCCTGTGCCTGTTTTATGTTTGCTTTCCCCTCTACCAGGGTTTCAGGTTACCCACTGGCACTGATGGTGTGAGAGCTTTAACACATGAGACTCCTGGAGCATTGGGACTCCAGAATTGGTTGTCCCTGCCCTGGAATCTCACCCTAGGGCTGGTGGGCTGAGCTTGAGGCTTGGTGTGGTGTTCATGGCTCCCATGTTGTGTCTCTGCAGTACCTGGATAAAGTGGAGGTGGAGATGAGGACGTGTGAGGAGCCTCGGCCGCCCAATGGACAGTCCCCCATCGCTCTTGCTGCTGGACAGAGGTCAGACCCCAAGCCCTGCAGCTTCTCCCTGACATCCTGCTGGGGTGTGGGGGCTGTTCTCCTTGATTCATCACTGGCCTGCCTGCTCTTGGGTTTAAGTGCCTTTGGTGTTGCTTATAAACCTCTCTGTGTGAGCCTTACCTCTGCCAGGCCTCTTGTGACATGGGGGGATCTTCTCTTTGCAGTGAATATGGCTTTGCTGAGAAGGTCGTGGAGGGGATGTTTATTGTTGTTAATTCCATCACCATCAAGATTCACTCCAAGGCCTTTCACGCTTCTTTTGAGCTGTGGCAGCTCCAGGGCTACAGTGTCAACCCCAACTGGCAGCAGAGTGACCTGCGCCTCACCCGCATCACAGACCCGCAGAGGGGAGAGGTGGGGCCTTGGTTTTGTTCTGGGATCATAGAAGAAAAGTATGATGAATGATTTTTCCTTGTTTCATTTCATGTCTTCTGAGTGTTTTGGGTCTTTTCTTTTAAGCCTTGAAGTTGTGAAAATATCAGGATTTTCCTGTTTTGCTCCTCCTGGGCAGGTTCTGACGTTCAAGGAACTCACCTGGCAGACCCTGCGGATAGAGGCAGACGCCACAGACAATGGTGACCAGGATCCTGTCACTACTCCTCTGAGACTCATCACCAACCAGGGGAGGATCCAGATCTCTCTGAAGAGAAGGGTGAGAGTTTCCTCCATGCTTTGCAGGATGTAGTCTCATTGCCGGGTGCAGAGATGATGCATATTTCCTCCCACAGTCCTCAACAGCCCTTCTCTCCCCTCAGAAACGTTGAGCCCAAACTGATGTATCTCTCCATGTTTTCTGTCAGAGACAGCTGTGTTCTTACCAAATGTCAAAGCAGTTTCTTTCCCAGGGGAGGATCTCGTGGATGGAATGAGCTTTTCAATCCGTTCAAACATCCCGAGGAGAGCTGTCATCTCCTTACTGGGAGTTGAAAGCTGGCAGCCTGATTTTTAGCTGTCAGTGGAAATGTGATGATTTAAAAAAAAAAAAAGGAAAAAAAAAAAGAATTAAACAGTGAGCAATTTGTCTCCTACAGAGGAGGTGGTTGTGACTACTTTCCATGTGAGAGGAGGTGCTGTGGACGTGCACCAGATAACATCTGTCAGAGGAGTTTCACAGCAGCCTCCCTTCTTTCTGCTTCTGTGTTTTATGAAGACTACGTGGAGAAAACTTTTGAAGTCCCTAACTCCTTCCTTGCTGTTTCAGACCAAAGATTGTAACGTGGTGGCCTCCAAGCTGATGTTTCTGCTGGATGACCTGCTCTGGGTTCTGACAGACTCTCAGCTGAAAGCAATGATGAAATATGCTGAGTCTCTGAGTGAAGCCATGGAGAAATCTGCTCAACAGAGGAAAAGCCTGGCACCAGAGTCTGTACAGGTGAATGAGTTTGGATATTGGTCTGTCAGGGAAGAGGACAGTTTCTGTTTGTGTGGCATCTGGCCCATATTCACGGCATTTTCCTTGATGGGAACTCGTCAGGTCAGGGCTGCTCTGAGGTGACCAAATGAGTGGGATTCATTGCCAATAAAATACATTTTCCAGGTCAAGGATGAGGGAAGAGGAGATTTCTGCTGGAGTTGGAAGCTCCAGGGAAGCAGGGATGCACATGGGGTGCAGTGAGGCTGCACAGGAGGAATGGGGAATATTTGGCCCTTTTTGCTAAGGAATCTTAAAACGTCTTCTAAGAGAAGTGCACGCAGCTGGTGGAGCCACAGACAAAGGGTTTTGCTTATGAGAGCATAGGAAAGGCTCCAGATGCTGGGAATCCCAATTCAGTCCTATAAACCAATGCCTTACAGGCTGGAAGATTCTCATGAGTTGATTAATTACATTATAACCTCTGTGTTTTCCCTCTCTCCGAATTCTCACTGAGCTTGTTCCTCTGCCACAGATCACTCCCCCTGCTCCCAGTGCCCAGCAGTCCTGGGCTCAGCCCTTTGGAGCCAGCCCCAATGCCAGCAGCATCGGGCAGTACTTCGACAAGCACGACATGAAGGAGTCCTCCTACCACCTGCTCATTTCCCGCCTGGACCTGCACATCTGTGACGACAGCCATGCCCGGGAGTCAGGTCAGGAAAAGAAAAACAGCAGCAGAGATAAAACAACAGCCAAGGCAGTGATTTTCTGTCTGGAAGAGGGTTGGAAGTACTGGGGTTTTGCAGTTCGGGATTTGAGTTTCCAGGCCTGGTTCTTACCATATAAACCATTGAGCAGTTGATTGAGGTGCCCTTTTCCTTGCCTAGGACAAGATTTTGGTGCAGATTCCTAAAGATAGTACCTTAATCCTGGCTGTGGTGTCAGTTAATCAGTGGTGGCAATCAGAGCAATGTGGTTCTGAATTCTCCTGGATCAGGGCTGGGATTGCAGAACTGACCATGCTTTCCTCTGCTCTGTTCTTCACAGGTGCTTTGAAGCACGGGATGCTGGGTGGTGCCATCCAGCTGACCTTCAGGAGGATGGCTTTTGATTATTATCCTTTCCACAGGGCAGGTAGGGAGCCTGTGACCTCACAACCTGAGGAGGGGGATAAAAAAGGAGTTTAAAGAACTGTTCTGTGGTTGCAGGCTGGACTGGAAGAAAGAAACCACATTTTTAAAGTTGAGATGTTTGCTTTTCTGCAGGAGATGCCTGCAAGCATTGGGTGAGGTACAGTGAAGCAATGGACACTCGGGGACAGTGGGCAAAGAAGTTGGTCGGTGAATTTCAAAGCCAGATGGAGAAGCTTTATGAAGAAACAGACCTTGTGTTTGCCAGGGCTCCACTTTCCCCTTTCAAAAGGAAACCAGGTAATGGTATTTGATAAAACCAGTGAAGCAGGAGGTGGTACCAATATTGCTTCATCCAGCAAAATCTTCAATTGCCTGTCCCCAGCTGAGCAGGCTGGTTTGTTCCTGCTGGTGCAGGAATGCATAGCACTCTAAAAATCATAAATAAAATGGCAGAGGAAAGTGTCTGGGAGAGCACTGCAGCAAGGATAGACAGGCTGCAGCGGATTATTGTTGAGTTTCTTATAAGATACAAGGATGAAATTACATACTTAAGACCTGCCTTAGGAAGGTGTTCTCTGGCCACAGAACAGCCTCACCTTTCACAGTGTTCTTCCTTCAAAAGAACATGTTTCTCCTGCCCAGCTGTGTTCATTCGTTTCTAATTTTGGGGCTGTTCTGCTCAGTAAGCACAGAGGTGTCGGTACTGATGGTGCAAAGAAGGTGACTAAAACCCTGCTGGTTCTGCCTTTCTGTCCCCACAGACCCTCCCCAGAGTCCCCAGAAGAGCCCCCCAGAGAAGGGCCGGGCTCCTCCCACGAGTCTCCCACGGCTCCGGCACCCGCCCTGGCACCGGCTGCGCTCCAGCTGCCTGGTAGTGCGGGTGGATGACCTGGATGTGCACCAGGTAGGAAACTCAGCACTGTCTGCAGATGGTAATGGCACTTCTAACAATGCAAGCATATGATTCAAGATATGACTGGAATAATCATGCAAATCCTGCAACATCCAAAACACTGCCCAGAGAACCTAAATGCTGTTATGATGTTGCCTGTAAAACTTTTAACCCAAGAGTGAACTGCTGATAGTCTTCATGTTCAGAGGTGTAACTTTTCTCTAAAAAATCCTTTTTCTGTTTCTCTGTTTCTGCTGCATCTCTTCTGTATTTTTCTTTTTATTCTTGGATTTCTCAGCCTCCTTTGGACTGAATTCTTTTGGGATCCTCCCTCGTGGGGAGCCCTGCTTATCTGAGTTCTTATGATTCAAAGAAAACTCCCGAGCTCGTTAGAATCTTGTTTCTCGTGTTTATTAACAGGTGATCACAAAACTTAACAGGTCTCTCCAGGCTGGTTACACAAGGCTAATCTTTGCAATCTGGTACTTTTCTTTCTTCTGATGGTACAGACAAGGCCTTGTGGCACACTTTGTGTCTGATGCACAAAATGGCCCCGAAATACACAGTTCTTTTATCTTTATACCTATTTTTACCCAATTAACAATAGACATGTATATTATTTTTCTTAATGACCCAATGTCCCATCACCTCTGTGATGCACTGCAGCATTCTCTATCCAATCACTGACTATTACCCAAAAACCTCTAGGAGAAGAACATGAAGAAGAAAGAAGAAGGGACAAGGGACAACACCCTAAATCCTCCATTTTGTCTCCTGTTCTCTAAACTAGCTTTTTCACCCAGTGATTAAAAAAAACTTTCTAATTTACACACTTACACTTTTAGCTTTTTCTATCTAACCTTAACATTTGTTTTCATGAATTTCATATTATATGAAATTCAGCGTTTTTCTGGATCTTATAACTAAGTGTCAGAAACAAGGGCACACACTCTGTATTCCAGACTCCAACAAGAGGGAGCTGTATAACCACGGGTTCTGCCCTCTGTTCCTGTCTAAGCATACACCAAGCATTAGGCAGGCCCAGTGTAAAATATTTCATGCCTTTGGGAAGTTAGTGAGGATGTGGATTTTTGTCAGAGAAGTCTCACCTCAGGCTTTCTGCCCTGGATCAGGCCCTGCATCCATGTGCCCTGTGTCCATCCAAGAGCTGCTTTTGCTCTTTGCAGCACCAGATACTATGATGGTCTTGCCAATGTGCTGATATTGCAGACAGCTGTAACAGATTTCGGTTCTGTTTGCTCACGTCACCTAATTCTGCTGGTCACAGCTCTTACTAGCAGTGACAGGAGACACAAAGAACTAAATTCCCTCAAAGGAGAGGAGTTGGCAATATCAGCAGGTAGAAGAAAATTACATTTTTGCTTGAAAGCACTGTATGTTTGATGTGCAAATGAGGCAGATTGAATACAGGCAACTGTGGGGTCACTGGGACACTTGGGTTTGCCAAGTCTGAGTTCTGCACAACTGCATTTCATTCTGTTTTTAGGTCTCTACAGCTGGGCAGCAAAGTAAGAAACCCTCCACCTTGCTTTCCTGTAGTAGAAAAATCTTCAAACTCCCTGATCAGGTCTCTGCAATCCATATTGAATTCACAGAATATTACTTCCCAGACAATCAGGACTTTCCAGGTAATACATCAAGGTTAGCACCTTCTTTCAAAAGTTTCTTAAAGAGTCATCAATGGTCTAGATGTGTTAACCCTCTTAGATGTTCTCTGCCCATTGTTGTTTAGTTTTCTGATGTTTGCCATCCCAATTATTTATTTTTTTTTTTGCCTTTGGGAAGGTGGGATGGAGTTTGTGCACAATGTGGAAACAGAGCTGTGCTTGCAGGAAGGAGTTGCAGCAGCTGCTGTTTGCCCAGTTCCTGGGGCTCAGCCTTAGTGAGAGCCCTGGAGCAGGGCCATGGGGTGCTCTGGGTGCTGTCCCAATGGGTCACTTCATTCCTCTGGGTGCAGCACAGCTGCTCCCCTTCCGAGATGTGTCTCCCAGGGGTGGTGAAGCCCTGCATTGGTGCTGTCAGTGCAGGTTCTGCACTGACTGAGCTGCAGAGTGCCCAAGCAGCCTTTCCTGCTATCATTAATCTGTTTCCTTCTAGTTCCATGCCCAAACCTGTACATGCAGCTGAACGGCCTGATGCTCACCCTGGACACACCGAGTGTGCTCTGGATAAACCTCTTCTGCCTGGATCTGTGTCGCAGCCTGGAGCAGTTCAAAGCCACCTACAAGCTGGAGGACTCGGGCAAGCGGGATGAGCACGTGGATGTCCGGCTGGATGGCTTCAGGCTGAAGGTACCATTCTTTTCCTTCCTTTCCCAGTCTTCAGTGTTCTCTCTGTGAAAGGAACATGAGACCAGGACATAGCTGGAGTCCATAACAAGGAGACAAACCTGCTGCCTTCCTCTGGCTTTGCTCTTGGGTTGGCTTTGTTTGGTCTGTGGGCAGTAGAGCTGGTGCTGGAGTCCTCATCCAGAATAAACCTCTGCTATTCCTTCCTCACCTCGTCCCTTGTCGTGTCTCTCTTCCCCCTGCAGGTCAGCATCCCTGTGGATAAGAAAGTCACAGAGCACCGGGACCGGCCGCAGGCCCTGTGTGTTTGCATGTCAGAGGTGACAGCCACCAACACCCGCCATGCTCCCTCCTGCAGCTGCCAGGACCTCCAGAGCCTCTTCCGTAAATTCACGGGGTCAGAGTTCTTCCACTCCAGCTATGCCAAGTTCCCACGGGCGCAGGATAGGTTCAGCCTCCTGCACACCCTGTTCCTGCGCCACGCCTACCAGGTGGATGACAGACCACTGAGGCACCCAGGCTTTCCCCAGCTGCCTCACAAAACCTCTGCCTCTGAGGATCTGTGGTCTCTGAATTTCAGTGAGCTCTCCCTGGGCTTTGAGGGAGCTGAAAGCTCCAAGGGCAGAGCCCTTAGCTTTGTTGACCCTTTTCCCCTTTCCATATGGGCCTGCCTGCCCAAGAGGTGGAGGCAGGCTCAGATATCTAAACGACAGGAACTGGCCACCTCTGAGGTGAAAATCAAGCCTTCTGCCAGTTTTAGCAACCACTCCAAGAACATCAGCCTCTCCAGAGAACACAGTGTTTGTCAAAGATCAAAGACTGACCAGGATCTGAAGAATATCTATAAGGCTCCAGACACGATGGATGTCTTGGGAGAATCTGACTGCGAAGTTGATGACGGAGTAGACAGTAAGGAGCTGGAAGCCTCTGCTGATATCCATGTGCTCGTGTCCTCCTCTGTCCATGTCAAAGTTCGCCTCAACCACTACCAGTACTTGGTGCTGCTCAGGATGAAGGAAGTTCTGCAAACACTACAGGAGCAGCTGGCCCAAGATACCCAGGAAATTACTGGGTCTCCTTTAGATCCCATGTCTGCTTGTGTGGGAGTTTTGTTCCACAGTGCTGAGGTGGCCCTGCTCATGACCCCTGCTCCAGGGTGTGTCATGGAACCCACATCCCTGGATTCAGATACAACCAGCCTGATCGAGTCCGAGCTCTCTCCCTCAGACAGCAAGGAGGGGCTGGCAGCTGAGGAGAAGGAGCTGAAATCAGAGAGCAGTTCGGAGAAGGGCTTAGGCAGCACTTCAGAGCTCCCAGAGGACAGCGGGATGCAGGATATGGGTGCCAGTGTCCCGCAGGAGAGGCTCCCGAGATCCGCCAGCGACGGAGCCCTGAGCGCAGCTCCCCGCGGTAAGGGCGCAGAGCAGAAAGGCCTGATAGAGGAGGCGCACGAAGCTGTGGAAGCCCTGGCTGCAGAAGGACCAACAGAGACCAGCAGCCACCCTCAGAGCCCCCCTGCTCTCCCTTCCAGCCCAGCCTCGGACGCGCAGCCCTCGGGCAGAGGAGGCACCGCCCTCAATGGCCAGGCAGAGCTCATCCCACTGCGGAACATCGAGGTGGAGCTCTCCAGTGCACTGCACATCACCAAGGACGCCACAAAGGAAGCTCTGCACGTGACCATGGACCTCACCAAGGAGGCCATGTCCCTCACCAAGGATGCCCTGAGCCTGAGTCGGGACAAGATGACCTCCACCATGCAGAGGATGCTGTCACTGCCCCCAGCCAGGTGAGCAGGCCAGGCTCCTGGGCTGCAGGAGGGGAAGACAGAGGCCAGCTTTCTTTCCATTTTGTTTAGATTGGGGATGGGTTAAGTGTTCATCTCTTGGGGCTGTTCTGAGGGTACTGAAATCTGACTTGCAAATGGTCGGAGACCAACCCAATCTGCAGGCTCAGCTGCCTGCCTTTATCACTGGCTTTTGTTGGGTTTTTCTGTAGGGATTCTGTGCCCAAAGCAGAGGAAGGAGCAGTGACCCCAGGCGGGGCAGGCAGCAGCCGGATGCGTTTCTTCTCCATGAAAAGGACCTCATCCCAGCATTCCTTTGACACCACATCTGTGGATGGGAGTGGCCCTGAGGACGGGCTGTCCGTGGACAGTGATGGCAGTGATGGCTTTGTGATGCTCACAGACTCTGGTAAAGCCCTTGGCTTTTCCTCATCTCACAGGGGTGATAACTTTGTGCCACAGACAACTCATCCATGCTGTGTTCCTATGGAATCACTTTTGCTGCTCCTTGTCTTTGAAGGTCTTAAGGAGTTGCCTCACAGTGGCTCTTTCTGCTTTTGAAGGTGCTTTTTCTTTGAGAGGAGGAGGGTAAATCAGTGTAGGGTGACCCTGCACATCCCAGTGGTGTCCTGAGGGCTGTAGGGGCTGTGATGTGCTAGTAAGGGCACCTTGCCCAGAGCATTTAGGAGGGCTGGTTGGATTTTGGGCACTCTGGACATCTTTCACTTCAACTCTGTGATGCTTAAACTCATCTGAGGAGCTGGAGAGAGCTCTCCAGAGGATGGTACCTTCAGAGAGGCTGGACGCAGGCAGGTGCTGACATCAGGACTTCCAGAAAAAGAAATGGAATTGAATTGTTGTTGCTTCCATTTCAGAACCCAGCCTGGATCCTCTTTCTTCAGGGCAGCTTCCCCAGGCCCACAATGACACGGGCAGCAGAAGCAGCCTGGTGGCAGAGGACGAGGGTGGAGTGTCCCCTGAGGTGAACAGCTCCACGTCCCAGAGTGAAGACCCCAGTCTGCAGCTGGTCAGTACCTGGCACTGGGATTCTGTTGCTGAGGGGCTCTGGAAGCGAGGTGTTTGCTGTAACCAATGAGCTCTTGGTGGCTGTTCCAGGTGTCTGTTCTCGTACTGAAGATGAATGATGTGAACTGTGCAATAGAAGTACAAGGAGATGATTTGTCTGTGGCTTTACAAGTGATGAACATGGTTCCAGAGCAGCTGAACAATGTTGGCATGTGGAAGTTCCTGCGTGGCTATGTGGGTAAGATGTTGCTCTGGGACTCAGATGCACTGTTAGAAGTGGCTTTTATACCAGCCTCCCTCAGAGAATATTCCATTAACTGGGGCCTCAGTGTTTAGGGTGGTTACACCCTAACAACTCACGTGTGAGAGTTCAGATCTGGCATTTGAAAGATGTTTCCCAAGTGCCTACACAGTCAGGCTCTGTGGTGCCTAGGAATCATTGACTAGGATTTTTTAAATTGCTGCTAGGATGCATGAAAAGAGTAAATAAAGCTATCCAGGGAAACCGTGAAGTTATTCCTGCTCTGAGAAAAATACTTTTGGTCTACAGTACTTCCTCTAAATTTGAATTAAAAAAAAACAAACCAAAAAACCAAGCCAAACCTAAAAACAATCAACTATCCCCCCAATGCCCCATAAAATGTAACCCAAACAAAACTAAAAGTAGCTCCAACCCCAAAGCTGAAGTCAAAGTGTGAGTAGTTTCCAGGCTGCTGATCCTGCCTTTCCCAGTCCTGCCACTGGCCGTGGTGAAGCAAAGGGATGAGAAAAGACTGGTCAGCTCTGGAGAGTGAACCAGGACACTGGGTTAGCTGTGGAGGCAGAGTTGGGACACTGTGGAGGACAGCTGGGACAGTTCTGGGGGGCAGAGTTGGGGCAGCTCTGGAAAGTGAATGAGGCACTGGCCAGGTCCTGCACATGCAAAACAGGGGCCAGTTTTAAAGTGTGATGAGAGAGGGATGTGCCTGGGACCTTAAATGGTCCAGCTCCAGTGCCAGTTCAGTGGTGTGGGCTCTTAGTCCTTTGAAATCTGGATTTCTGTCATGTGAGGGATGATGTCAGACCAAGGTCACTCGGCTGCTTTTGGACTGAAACGGGTTTTCCATGATGTGCCTTCTGAGCTGATATCTGATCACTGGTGTCCTGTTGTGCAGCAAGATCTCTCTGCCCCAGCTCTAGGAGATCCAGGTGTGGAGAAGCCTGCGAGCCCTGAGCCCAGGCAGCCCCATCCCGAGGTGTGCCTGCGCCTGGAGTCGGGTCCATGCGCGGCCGCTCACTCGCCACTGGCTGAGCGCAACGGCTTCCTCCGGGTGCTGCTCCACAGCCGCTCCACAGAGCTCTGCATGTCCTGCCTCACCAGCCTGGGACCCTTCCTCGAGGATGAAATCATCCCAGAGGTGATCCCCATGGAGATAGAGGTGGTGGATGCCAAAATCACGTTGAAGGTGAGAGATTCCCCTCAGGGCAGAGCTCACTCGCAGGATTCCACTTGGGAAGGGATGCTGTGGGATTGCTGGGGGCCTCTGTAGAGCTTCTCTTTTCCTGAGACTGTTTGGTTTTGCTTCTGAAAGCTGCCCTAGGGATGAATGAGGAACACAAGGGAAGTGTGTACCTGTACACCCTGCTCATAAAGCCAGGCCTTTCCCTAGAGTTGACTCACCCCCATGAGTCTGGTGGTGCTGCTGGTTAGGAATGCTGCTCCTGAGGATGCTGCAGGCAAGGGAAGTCCTTTCAAGAGCTGTCACAGCTGCTCATCCCTTCTGTGCTTCATGTTTCTCTAGGATGACAGCCCCCCAGTGTACCCCACCTCCCCTGGCCCTGTCCCAATCACCTTGGCAATGGATCACGTCGTGGTGAGGCGCAGGGATGACGGCATCTTCTATCTCACAGGTCAGTAACTTGCTGCTGCTGCTGGGAAGGATGGGCTCTGAGGAGGGATCAGTCCTTGTGTGTGTTTCCTGCTGTGGGAGCAGTCCCTGCCTCTCTCTGGTGTGAGAATTCATGTCTGATGTTTCCTTAAACATACACATACTGGATCCATTATTACCTTTTAGTTTCTCTATTTTAAAAGGGGAAAGAGAATTTTATTTCCCTGTATCCAGATAGCAACAGGCAGCAGTGACTCACCTGCAGCCCATGTGCTCCTCCTGTTGGGGCTGGTGAAACAGACTCTGATGGGGCCTTCTGC